GTAAAAACGAGCGTTCTTGCTCATTTTGCTTCCGAGAAACATGCAAAACGGGACGGAAAACATGAAATTTTGCAATAATCTTACGCCACCTTTGCGCAAAACGACGATAATTTTTTTAATTTCATAGACAACAGAAGACTGTATTTTTTCTACATAACCCCCCCCCCCTGAATTTAACGCTGGATCCGCCCCTGCTTTATAAATATGTTTTTTTGTGAGGATTTCAATATTTATCAATTTTTTTAAATATTTGTTAATTTTCTCAATGTTACATAGTTAACGCATGCCAAGCAAAATACTACTAATATCATTTCTTTGCTAATCAGATTCCAAATAGATAGATATGATATTGCACACCCTTATGTCAACGATCACATACAGCAACCAACTGGTAAAAACCTGTTTTCTATTGATTCCAGGAATATCACAAACTAGAAACTACCCGTTTCTTCCTCATTTTGCAATCAGCAGCCGAGCACCAGCCTGCCTATGGAGTGGTCTTTTCTCGACAAGATCAACTCCATATAGATTTGTTTGTCTTCTTCTCGGTCTTCTTTTCCGTGTTCTTCCTGTTTTTGGCCGCATGTGTGGTTGCTTGGAAGGCGAAACAAGCCGCTGATGCACGGCACGCAAGACGTCGACACGTAGTGGAAATGCTGCATATGGCAAAACGACCGTTCGCTTGTGTAACGCTAGATCTGAATTCGAAGTGGCAGACCGGAAAAAAGGCTGCTCATCATGAGGTTAGACCGGTAGCCATTGAACCGACAGGTAAAAAAACTCATGGAATTGTATTGAAAATTGCTTAAAATGTCGGTTACCAAAATTATTATGTTTAGGTGATGGTGTCGCTGCTGTTGCTACAGTATTCGTGAGTCTCCCCGGAGGCCAGAATCTCCCTGTAAAGTTAGCCTTAGCTTCCTCACTGATATTATTAGTCAGGCAATTCCCTACAAGTAGTAGAATATTTTTGAGGCGGCGATCTATACACGCAACTCCTCCAACCTAGACATACATACTCACCACCTTGTACAGGTTTGTTTATATGTATTATTTTAAGTATTTGTTATTATTTTTAAGAATTATACATTTGTTTTTATAACAGCTGAGTTTTTTTAGCTTTCTGTCATTTTTGTGTTTGTGGATTTTTACATTTTAACAATTATTTGATCAGGAAGCATATTACGAGCATTAGTCAAATTGGGAGGTCACTGACCTTGCAAGTGGGATCAAATAATCTTAACCCGGTATTAGCCTAAAATGCATTTATTCAATTATTTAGTAGCAGTTAAATATCAAAGGTTGGGCATTTTCCGTCAAATGGGGTTTTATTTAATTGGCGCATTAGCCAAGGCATTGCTTCTTATTTTGCCTCCAGATTTTGTTAACATGGCATTGCCCTGCCAATGGCCAAAACCATCAGAGTTAGTCTTTAGGTCGACTTGCAACTTTTCCCATATTTTCTTTTTGGGGTTCAATAATGCATCTGAAGAGCCATCTTCGTAGTTCTCGAACACTATTTTTTCTCCGCTTATTGCATCCGCAGGTGGAAGAAGAGGTTCTACTTGTCGGGGTGTTTCCCTGAAATAAAAAAAATTCGATACAGCTTGTTATCTTAGTGTGTTCGCTTAATTTGGAAATTGAATACTAGTCAATAAACTGTACTTACACTGAGGCGCACAGAACCATGCCTTTACTTTCAATGCCTCTGATTTTGACTGGTTTCAAATTACACAGCACAACTACCAATCGATTTTGCATTTCCTCTATAGTAACGAATTCACCTAAACCGCTCACTATAGTTCTAGGTTCTGCTTCTCCTAGAAATGTATACAAATTGCCAAAATAGCAAAAAATTTGGAGCAAAAAGCATTATCTCAGGCGCGGAACTTCAATTTTAATTTTTTACATATAATATTTACCAATGAATTTTAAAATCTGATAATGGCGCTGTTGTCTCGCCGAAACGTAACGAAATAAACGATACACAAAAAACTTTTTTGTTTCACGCTGTGACTGGAGCACAAAAAAGACAATTATATAATAACAATTACGCGCGTCAGGAAAATAAGTCAAAACCAAATAAACACAATTGTTACATACATTAGATTCTAGACTAGAGAGATATAGGAGGTTTTGAAATGTACAATTTTCTTGAACACGATGTATGTGCGTTGTTGATACGAGCGTTTGCCACTCAATTTGAAAATGACATGAATACAAAAAAATCATTGTATATAAATACCTCCGATTTATTTTCTACTTGCTCTAAGTAATAAAAACCCGCTCGTTATTATTTTTAAATTTATCATACTATGAAGGCTTTCACGGCCGGTTAAATCACATTTAGGAATGTTTTCCCGGCTTTGAAGCCGTGGTCTATGGGAATTTCTTCCTGACGTTTCGTCCACAACTGCGGTGGACATTATCAAAGGCGATGAGGTTTGATCATCGAAGTGATCTCCCGTGCTTTCCGACTAAGACTGGTCTTAGTCGCCTTTGATAATGTCCACCGCAGTTGTGGACGAAACGTCAGRAAGAAATTCCCATAGACCACGGCTTCAAAGCCSGGAAAACATTCCTAAATGTGATTTTTAAATTTAATTGTCGTACTTACCTAGATCWATTTGTTCAACATATAAGCTGTCGGCATTCGGATGACGTTCTACTCTCACAACCTTTCCTACTCTGATGTCCAATCTACTAGGTATGATCTCATCTGCATTATTAGCTGTTGCTTGATTGTTTCCTTCTGCAGAAGCGTAATATGTACATTTGGGTGTGATTACGTTGAACCAAATCGCAACTCACTTTGTTTGCCTGGCTGTGGATAGGCATTTTCTAAAAGCTTCTTCAATTCAGGAGCTTCGAACTCTTTGATAACCGGTGCCAGTAACCTGTTAATTTGAGCTTCAACGGCAGATTTCAAATCTGTAGGGTGAATTGCCTAACAAATGCCATGAAAATCGGCCCGCCACATCCAAGTCGCAAAATGAACTTACCAAATCAGCAAAAGCCTTTTCCAGAGCGTCGAAGGTTTTAAAATTGACATCGCCACCATCCTCTGCTTTTCTCTTAACAACGAATTGTTCGGTTTCGTTTAACAGGGGAAACACAACATGTTTCACAAATGAAAGTATTCCATTATTTTCAATGTTGCCTGGCTCACAAAAGGCTTTTCTCAGCTTTTTCTTTACATTGGCTGGTGAATCAAGAAGATCAATTTTACTGTCCTCTTCAGATGAGGACATTTTCGTTCCAGTTAGACCGGGAACTAGAAATAGTGAACATAAATCAGGTTTGAGGTTCCAAATAATATGACTTTAACTTGAACCACTTTTGGGACCTTCCTGTACAATACGTATCAAATTTTGGTTGATTGGTACCACAAACCTACATTCTCATAACGATTTCTAGATAATTACTATTCCAACCATGATTTAAAAGTAAATATCAACGTAATTAAAAATCTAAAAAGTTCCATTAGCTGTATATTTTTTCAAGGCAGCTGTAAGACTTTTTTTCAGCTCTGTATCTTTCTTCTGTCGTGGTGGTTTTAAAGTAAAGGTTCTACTTTAATTAGATGACTTGCAGCAAGTCCTAACTGTTATGTTGGAGAATATTTGATTTGAACGACACGATTAAAATCGATCATTAACGTTTTAGAGTAAGAAAAACTGCTTACCCATGGGATTCATTAAATGAGCCCTCTTGGCATACCCCAACTGTGGTAAGTATTTCTCAGAGAAAGTGAAGATTTTTCTTTGATCGACACCCCCAAACTGAGCATCAACTTTAAGGTACTCCTCATCTAATGCTTGAAGCCCTGAAAACATTTAGTCTGTTTTAAGACGCTGTTATTGAAGATTTAATCTAATTATACCTGGGTATAAAAGGCCACTTAATAAAGGATGATCTACTTGCTTTACAACTTCAGCTCCCGCTTTTTTCGCATCATGTTCAGTCACTACTGAACTCAGCCTGCAACATTAAGCAACTACAGCATTTTCACCTGGAAATGCTTCCGACTCTACCTGTAAACATCTAAAGTGTACTCTTTAGACAGTTGGTACTCTGTACCCTTAACAAACTTTAGCTTCTCCAATGGGACTCCTATGCTGCGTAGAATAGCCTTAATACTATGCTCGTAGTATTCTGTACGAAGAGCTAATAACTCCCATGGTGCCTTCAAGTTATCCAAGTAGGCATGTAGGTCGGCAAATAAAATCGTCACCTGCGATCGCAGAATTTGATACTTGTACACTTACTACACACAAATAGACCGATGTTGTTGACTGACCTCAGCCCCAGCTCTAAGGAAATCAGCAATTTTCGACATTGGCACGAAATAGGCCACATGAGGTTTTCCAGTAGTGGCCGTGCCCCAATATATTTTTAGGTCTCTCTCTTTCAAAATGGACTTAATCTTGTCTTCACCCAGGACCTCTTGCAAGTTTCTACCGATTAGGTGATACTTTTCGTCAGGGGAAAGTTGTCTTTCACACATGGTGTCTTAATAATTATTTAACCGTAAGGAAATCACTGAAACATTAATTAGAGACATGCACCCATAAAATTGCCATAAAATAGGTTTTACCTGATATATAAAAAGTAGTAAATAGCTAAATAATCTATTAAATGCTGGAATTAACATATATATATATATATATATAACCTATCGAACTACACTCCACATCACTTGTTGAAGGTTAACTTCTCGGGCTTCCAATCACAGAGCCTCTCATTTCTCCTTTTCCTCATTCTTTCTTTATTTCCTGTGGCCACAGATCTCACAGAGTAACGTCTGTGATCTGTGCCAGTGACAAAGAATCAAATCTTTGATGTTGAAGTTTATTTGTTTATGTTTATGTACCATTCCAAAATGCAGCCGAATATTAAAGAAAATCGCAAATATCAATAATTTCTGGGGTTTAGATGCAATCGGCTGCTTTGGACCGAACCATGGCAGTTCGCTGTCGGCTTTGTGCCGATTTCTGCTATGGCCACCTTGAAATTGCCGATGAACCTCGCATTAACTCAATGATCGAATTCTTTTTCCAATTTAAAATTGAATCAGGAGGCAAATTGCCTTCTACTGCTTGCGATGCCTGTCTGGATCATGTGGACAGAATGTGGCAATTCAAGGAGCAAGTGGACAGGGCGCAACTTCTACTTAATGGGTTGGCCAATTCAACGGATATTACTAACATTGTTCTGGACAATCAAGTTGTGAACACTCAACCCCAGCAAGCTGCTGAGGAATCCGATGTTGTTGAACCTATTTCAAAGCCAGAGACTCACAACTTAGCTGTTGATGTGAGCAAAGACAAATGTTCTTGTGACGAAAAACCGGAGGAGAAATCTGCGAAAGCAAGCAAAAAGGTAATGTTAGAACGCCGTCTTATGACCGATGATGAAAAAACAATGGTCACGAAAAGTCTTAAGAATACCATAAGGTACTTTTGGTTTATTTTAAAATGCCTCACTTGAGTCAAACTGATTTTACCAACTTGCGTGTAGCCCAGGAGACGCACAGCGAAGATTGAAAAAAAATCCAAGCCAAGTGAGGCGGAAACTTTCAAAGAAATCGAATATGTAAACCCAGACGGCAGCATCGTACCGAAAATGGGAATAGGCGGTTGGAACTCCTATCATTGGAACTGCTCGGAATGCGCCACTATCCTGTTTGCAGCCGATGACTTAAGAGAGCATTTTGCAACTGCCCATAATGTCACCTCAGTCCGCTACCTATGCGTGGACTGCCCCAAAGTAAAATACTAAGCTCATATTGTAATGGAGTGCGAATCTATGGAATTTTTAGGTGTATTCGAAGTACATCAGCTTTATCCGACATGTCAGATACCACAGGCCGTGCCTCAAATTCACTTGCGATGTTTGCTATAAATGGTACGCAACTCCCAAGGAAGTGGAATCCCATCAGAGGTCGCATAGTGAAGAGGACCCCTACCATTGCACCATTTGCGGAAAGAGATTCCGCGTTCAGTCCCTATTAAGTCTGCACACTAGATCTCACCTACCCAGCAATGTGAAGAATTGCTATCCTTGCAATCATTGCCCAAAGAAGTTCGGTAATTTGCACAACTACATTAATTGAGCGCAACTGATTAACTTCAGCGTGTTTCAGGTACTAAACCCAACCTAATGGCGCACAAGCGAATACACTTGGGAATCCGGGAATACACCTGCGACCAATGTGGCAAAAGCTTCGTGCAAAAAGGCAATCTGGATAACCATACCTTGACCCACAACTCAGATCGGCCGTTTCAATGCACCATTTGCGAGAAAAGTTTCAAATCGCTGGTAAGACTTTCAGTGCTTTGATCCCGGACACAAGAGGATTCATCGGCGCTTTTTAAAGGTCCGTCTTAGGAAACACAGTTCTATTCATTCAGGGCTAAAGCCGCACCAATGCGATATCTGCGGGCGCCAGTTTAGGGAACGGGGCACGCTTAAGGAACATCACAGGATACACACGGGCGCCATGCCTTTTACTTGCGAATTCTGCGGCAAATGTTTCCGGTTTAAGGGCGTTTTAACCACACATAGGCGACAGCATACAGGTAGCAATGATGCATATAAATTGCTCCCTCAGCACCCTCATGAAAGCGCATTTTCAGGCGAACGCCCGTATTCTTGCACTGAATGCCAACATCATTTCACCAACTGGCCGAACTACAACAAGCACATGAAGAGGCGGCATGGGATAAACACCAGTGTGACTTGTCGAACCAAACAGGAAATTCCGCCCACCGGGAAGCCCCATCGCAACCCCCCCGGGACGGTTTTAGCGGCCCCACAACACCCGGCTCCCGTTCACGTCATTTGCCAAGCAAACAACGCTCCTTTGGAGGTGTATAGTGAGGCGGCGTCCGGAACGGCTTTTTACCCCGTTTTGGGGCTGTACGGCATACCGGATGATATAGGGAAAGGCGTGCTATAAAACCGACTTTAAGCTAATGTTAGTCATTGAAACACGTGTAAATGTAATGAAATGTATTGAGCGCGCTGTATGAAACCTTAAACTAAGAGACTTATAAAAAATAATTCTTATTATATATCCCCGGAAGTTATAAGGTTTTTATCATAGACATCACATCTTCATCCAGCTGCCCTTGAGCGATGCTGTATTTTCTGAATCTGAAGTCATCAATCACACGAACGTGATCTTGGAGCTTGCTCATCAGATTATAAAAATCGCTTAAGAGTAGTCTTTGCAAGTGGGATTTCAGCAGAACTAAGTAGACTACCAGTTGGGCTGCATATAATTTCAGTTGGTTGTTCAAAGGCCTTTCACGCCACTGATTGGTGGTTATTGACAGGGCCTGATCCAGCAGGGAACGGGGCAGACACAGATAATGTGCTAGACATTCTGAAAGGTTCCTTTCCACCAAATCACCTTCATTCCGTTTCTGCACTAACAAATCCGCTGCCTGCGTGTCAAAAGTGTTTTGCAAGCGCACACTGTAAGATTTATAAAGGATTTCTGCCAATGGGGCCCCTCTGTAAATCACCTTGCAAATCGACTCCGACTCAAATATGGCTTTCACTTCCGGATACATCTTGCATCTTTGTAGTTGGCTGAAATCAAGCAAATACACCTGATGTCGCGTGCTTAAAGCAAGTAAGGAAATTCTGCTTCTTCTATCCGGATCCACCCCCACACACATCACTCCAATGTTTTCTGCATCTTTGAGCACTTTTATCGCGTCAAAATACCGTTTATCTGCATTCTCAAGGTAAATGTAGGACCGCGACATTTCTTTTAAACGAAAATACTCTTCTTCGGACAATTTGATCGCTCCTCTTCCCATGGCATGTTTGAGGTCCATCTTCTTTTCATTCGGGGGTTCTTCCGATGTTTCTTCTGGTGTATCTTCAGGCTGGTTCTCTTTGATCAATGTTGCCTGTAGACAGTGCACCGACTCTATTTCACTACGATAAAACTCATACAACCCCCTGAGCTGATTGCTATTATTATGTTGTATCACTTCATCTAGAACAATACGGTCTTTTCCTCCGTCTACATAGATCCCATTGAAGATTTCTCTGGTCTTCAATTCGACAACGAGCCGATCTCCAAGCTCGTATATTTTGTGAAATTTACTTTCCATGTCTTACCTCAGGATAAACAGGTAATTATTTAACTAAAAACTAGCATTAGAACTTATACCCACTTTTGACTTCTGCCTGTGAAGAAAAGCCCTTCACATAAACAAAGTCATAGATAAAGAACAAAGTTTTGTGTTTATGATTCGCGTCAACACAACCACAGATTACAGAGGTTAGTTTGAGGCAGATTGGGGTCTTCTTCTTCTTCATCTTTGACACACCTCTTTCAGGGCTATTTGGCAGCACACTCGTGGAGAGGTCATCATACCATAGTGCATCAATTCTTAGAATTAATACATTTAAAAAAATGCGGAAAATTATTTTTTTATGCAGCGTAACGTAGTATATCCACTATATTGAAACACAACATAAAATTACACAAAGAGACTGTCGCAAAATATCCTTTTTAGAATTGCTATATGCTATACTCGCGATTGGCGTCAGCTCCTTCCAATCTGGTCATGACATGAACCCATGATACAATCTGATACAATGAATACAAGGTAGGATATTAATAGGTCGAAAACTCGATTTTCGAGCGCACATGACGTCACTGGTTAGCACTTTGGTAAAGTGAAAAGCTGATCCATTTAAAATGCATGTAACCTAGACAGATTTTCATTGAATTTAAAACGCCATAGTTCAAAAATTGAAAGTTATATGAGGATATGGTTTACAGTGTTGTACAGCTCAATGCTTTCAAAATCGCTCTTGGGAAATTATTCGGGCTTATTGCGAAGAAAAATACCCTAAAAAAGTATTTACAAAATCTCTGATTTTCAGCGTTTTAGCTTGCTGTGTTGCCAGAGTGTGATTCGTAAAGTCGGGTAGAGCCAAACGAAACAATGAATTAATTAATTGTATCATTCAATGAATTCATTGAATCCATTGAATGGATTAATTAATGAATCAACTATGCCTACAAAATAAATACATTTTTGTTACTTTTTATTTTCAAGTTTAAAACCTGCTGCAAAGCATTTTGTAATTATAAAGAAGATTTATTAAAAAATAATTAAATGTGACGAAGACTAAATAAGCTATGTTTAATCACATTAAGCAGACTGGAAAAAATCACGTAACGCAGTGATTTCCACTGACGTCACGCAAATCGACGCAAGATCCTACCTTGTACTCATTGTATCATGACATGAACCCAAACCCAACTTAGTAAGTAAGGTTAGAAAGCATGTTTGCATTCGATTTGAAACTCGCACCATGGATGTGTTCGAAGACCTCCCGGAAGATTTGGAAGATGTTGAGGTGATCTATCTGGATGGCGAAGACGAAGATATTGATGACGACTATTTCGTCAGTGACTCTCAAGAGCCGGAGCAGATTGAAGCTGAAGTAATTGATGTTTCCAAACTGACTTTCCACAAGCATGGAAAGTCTGTGTTTGGCAGTGATGTCTCAAAGAACCAACAATTGGTTGTGACGGGGGGCGAGGACGACATGGCCTATGTCTGGGATAGTGCTAGTGGAGAAGTGCTGTTTGAATGTACTGGACATAAGGATTCTGTAGTAGAAGTTGGCTTTAATCATGACGATACCTATGTCGTCACTGGGGACATGGCAGGGTTGATCCAGGTATTTACGCCCCAACTTGCCAGGATTTGTAATTAACTACACTCTCAACTTGTCTTAGGTTTGGTCGCTCAGCGAAAGGAAGCTAGTATGGTGCTATGAAGGTGATGACATGGAGTGGCTAATGTGGCACCCGGTGCTCAATGTGTTGTATTGCGGCTGCCAGTCTGGATTCATTTATATCTGGCATATACCGTCAGAACTTTCCAAGATCCTGCCTGCTCCATCCAACGTAGCCGTAACATGTGGCAAAGTGATGCCGAATTCCAAGCAACTGCTCTGCGGATACGCCGATGGGGAAATTCGCCTTTGGGATATAACCACAAGTTCCGTTGTTTGGGTAAACAGGGACAGCAGCTCTGTGAACAGTCTGGATATCAGTAATGATGGAGCTTTGGCGATAGCAGCCCCCAGTGCCGTAGTTATAAAACTGACGGACGGAAAGACCGTTAGAAAGGCATTGAGCGAAGGAAAAACCGAAATAGAAGTTGCAATGTTCGACAATCAGCTCGGCGTTATTGTTACAGGCTCTTTAACAGGCCGGTTATGCGTTTGGCAATTGGGAACGTACGCTTTGAGGCATGAAATCGACATTGAAGTTCCAGTAACTTTACTCAGACGTGGGCCTGAGGACCAAGTAATTGTGGGTACGACGGAGGGGGTGATTTATACATGCAACATAAAAACCGGCGCATTGTACCAAGCCCTAACCGGACACAGAGCAGACATTTTAAGCATAACAACGTTTCAGGATAGAAAGCGAGTCGTTACCACATCCGATGATGGAACTGCAAAGATATTCGAGCTAGAAAAGCCATAGAGTTTATCAACATTTTTATACCAGTTATATTCTATATACACGCCACAAACAGGTTACACGTTTATTATAACTGTGTTTTCATTAGTTTTCCCAAATTCTCGCCAATCTATAGTAAGTTATGACGCTCATTTCAGCACATTCCTGACCTACTCCAATTGCGACTATCCCGCCAATCGATCGGTTTCCCCATTAAGTCCTCGCCGGCATCTGCTGATGCGGCAACATTTATTATTTGTTTTATCAGAAGACCGGCAAAACGGAAAAAATCAATTGTTGCAGTGATTGCATGCTAAACAGTGATAAGTCGACCCCATTTCGTATTTTCTTCTGGTCGTCAATGAGGAAAACTTAGTTGTGCCATGGGACGCCTCAAGGTGTGTATTCACTTGATGTTTACTTATATTCACTGATAGCACCGTTTAAAATGCATCCTGCATTTGCCGAAATGATTTATCACGGATTTATTTGTATTGAGTTTCTATGTATCATTTTCAGTTTATTTTAATTATTAAATTGACTTCAATGCGGCAGAAAGCGTCGAAATGATGTCCGCTTGCCGCCGCATGGTAATTCAAGTTCTGCCCATATATTTTGTGAATATTTTCCAGTCTCTTTGAAGTGATTCTTCAGCATTGATTCGAAATTCGTTATCGAAAATCTTTAATTAATTTTCATTTCTTATGCATTGTGCTCAGCTCAAGGGCAGATCCACAGCAGCGTCATGTTCAAGTGGATTTTGCATCTCAAAAATAAATCACGCAAATCTAAAACTTCTTGAATTCAAGCGTTTTTTGAGAAAACCGCCAACATTTCCTTATCGATGGTTCACTTTCCAAAAAGGCCATTTATTTCTCTCTAGAATGATGTACAAATGAGCGTTCTTGCTCATTTTGCCTCCG